TGCAATAAAACTGACGAGTCAAGACTTTCAACAGAAAAAGAAGGGCTAAAATTTGAGTAGGCCACAGAAATACCAACTGAAATTATAAATGTACACTAGTAAAGACACGCGGGATATTTCACCATATGCTAACCTGACACTGAAAACCAAAGCTCTCCATTTATTCCATTTTTGCTTAATTCAACAATTCTACAGCAAATCATGAAAAATATAAAATGCTCTGGTTTTTTTAAATGCAACTTTCTGTCAATATTTACTTTCCTAAATGACTTAGGCCCATTTAAGAAACATGTTTTCACTACACTTTAAATTATAGGTTTAATAGATTTGAGAAGAATGGGAATATCTGATGCTAGGAAATAGTCAGATCATTCATGCAATTGAAAAAAAAAATAATCAAACAACTTTAAAAACCAGGTACAAATGTGCAAAGAACCAGTCTCATCGGTTTGTATTTACATTCTGCTTCTACAAATTTCTATAATGCTCTTTCATCACTGAACATTTACTCCCACTAGTATCCCAGCTCAAATAAAACAAGCCATGAGAGCTTATCAATGAGTATACTGGAATTAACTGGCAAACATCAATATAAGCAAAGAGAAGACCACAGAGGTTTCTCTCCTTTGCTTTACATGAATTTGGCAAATAGAAAGTTTGCTTTAAAAGTTTGCAAAAGAAAGGATATATGATAGTCACCAAGACCCATTTAGTACCATCTTTCCCAACTAAACACAGCTCAGTATTCTGACCATGGTTTATTTTCTTCCGTCTTTCTTTTGATTTATCTGACATAAATAAAACAATTAAGTTGAAATTATTGCTTCTCTGGAGTGGAGAGGTATTTAACCAGAGTTTTTTGTAGTATCTGCCTTAAGAGAAAAAATTTTACAGAAGACTTCTACAGCACTTCTGCCAATTTATCTTTCACAGCGAATCTCAGAAATTTGACCCACATCATCATATTTGAAAATATTATACAGAACTTCTTCAAATTGTATTTTATCTTCTATTTTATTGGTTAAACCAAATCTTCAGGAGTTTTTAATTACCTTAATAAGTGATTTCACCAACTCACTGCTCATTACTTTTTCTGTGAAGAACAATTACAGATTACCCAGCTATCAGAATGATTTTTAACTAGAAACTTAATCCAACAAGAGGACTGTTATCTAAAAGCCAACAAACTGTAAATATCAACAATTTCTGAATCAAGTAACGAATGTCCTAAACCACACTATAAATAGCCACAGCCATCTGTCTGATTTGCCCCTTCTCCTCATTACTTTAACTTGTCTATCTCCAAGGACACAATCTTACCATGTAACGTGCCTGGTTTCACTGTCTGCCTCTTGCAGGAGGAAAGCAGCAGCAAGGGGAAAGATCACCATCCGTGACCCCCACCCAGAGAGCTAACATTACCAAATCTGACTTCCATATCCGATCTCAAGTGCTTATCTGTTATTTCCACCACATTCCTTCTATTACAGCTGTTTGCTATCATTTAACCACATTTTATCTCATTTCATTATCTCTTTCCCTATCGTTTGGGTAGTGTTTTCTTTTTCTTTTGGCACTGTCCTCCAAGGAATATTTTTAACAAAGTTGTGGAAACACAAGCACATTGTATCCACCCATTCTCCCTAATTTCCTTGCAAACCTTTTCAAAGGAAAGCTTACCCAGGAAAAACAATTTTCTTGTAATGCTATCGGGTCCCACCACTCCTATGCAGTCTACTACTCTAAAGAAACAGTTACTAGTTAGAAGAAATTAAAACGCAGTAGTGAAGAGGACAAAAGCTGGAAAATTCCCTGGCAGGAGGGGGGCTATACACGCAGTTACATACAGCATAGCAGTTTGTTGCAATTTAGACCACTTGCGAAACGCAGAGAAATGCCAAAATGTGCGAAACTGCATTTTTTGCCAGAAAAATGTTTGTCAGAAGGAAAACTTTCCACAGCAACATATGCATTGCTTGCAAAGACAAAATTTCTAGTCAAAACAAAAGCCATACACACACACACACACAAACACACACAGAGGCCTTCCAAGCTCATCCAGCCCTGAAGCAGCAGAGCTTGACAGTATTGTCACTTGCTGGGACAAGGACGGGCATCGGCAGCGCTTGGCTCTGTGGGGTCCCAGCCACAGGGACAGAGTCCTCATCGCTCTCCCCTGGGGGCAATGGCTAATTAAAAGGGAAATAACATCCACAACCATCACTCACAACCAGTCAGAAGACGTATGGTTCAGGCAAGACACCAACATGGAAGGCAGCTCAACCGCTGCTTGCCTCAAGCAAAGATACGGATTTCAGCGCCCTGCATATGCATTTGATCAAACCCTTGGCTATTTTGGGATGGGCTTGTCCAACACATAATGACAACTCTGAAATGTTTCGGAAACACAGTCCAGAAAAATGCAGAATGAAAAAAATCTAGAGTTTAAAACTCTTGCAGAACTGGAAACCCTTTCCTGTCAACTCTCCCAAGCAGCTGCTAGAAGAACCTAAGAAAAGGAAAATTAATAATTTCTGAAAGATATGAAAATAAATTATAATGCCATAAAGCACTGTTTGTGAACATTTAAATGAGGATTAATAACGTTAGTCTTTATTCTAGTTAATTACTTCACAGGGCATCATGAAAGTCTATTCTTAGGATAATTTTTCGATCTGCAGATGTCAAAGTACTGTAAACAGAAAGCAAGCACTAAAAGTGAAATATGTAATCAGCAGATAAGCATCTAGGGGAACCCTATATGAATCTATTTTCCTTCTTACTTGACATACACAGCTTACTAATGATGCTTGCATAGATATAAATATTGAAGTCCTCTTTCACTCTGAATGAGGAAGATTATACAACAGAGGCAACAATAATTTCAAAAGGTTCAAGAAAAATAATTAGAAAATCAGAGTAAACATGAATACTTGCCAGGGAAAACAAAATATAGGCACTGATGGGAAGAAAAACTGATGGAGATGAAAGAAAGCTACCTCTAAGAAACTAGATGAATTGCCGGAAAAAATTATGGGATACTAAAGCCACCATACAAAATAGGTCCTTTGCCACACAGCCTCCCAAGAGAGTGGATAATCTAGCACTGGAACTTGCATTGGATAGAAGACTAGTAAAGTACAATGGGGAGCACTGCATGTTTATCTCAACAGAGAGAAACTGCCCAACCTCAAATTTCCATTATTCTGTTAAACATTTCCAAATATATAGACCAACAAAAGGCTTCAGAAGGAGCACAGGACATTTAATTAATGCTGCTCATCCTTCCTGTGTACATGTACAATTTCTAAAAGCCATCCTGTAGTTGCTGAACCTCTAACAAACCTCTCACATGGATCCAAGAACATTCATCTGCAAATGGTCACAGCAGACGTTTAATGCCTGATGCCTATAGAGAGAGCCAAGAATTTTGCACCTTCCTGAACATGACTCTGCAGTAGATAAATGCTGTTACAGCTCATGGCATTGCCAGCCACAGCTAATTATAACTTTATTGAGATGTTTTGGCAAGAGTCAAAGGCATTCAAGCAAACAACTTGTGATGGGGTTATCTGTCACTGATAATGCATGACTTTGACAAATAGTTTAAATACTCCACTTCTTTCCTCTATCTCATCCATAACATCAAGCTTTTGAGGGATACCTGGGGAAGAAGGAATGGCATGCTAGCCTCTCTTGAAGGGAACTACAAATATGCAAAGTGTTATTACTTTCAATACACTGGCAGAATTTCTTAGGTCCTGTAAAATAGATTTTTTTTGTCAAAAGCGATATTTGATGTCTGTATCAGCTATGAAAAAATGTCAAGATATTTATGAGCCTCCAGTGGATGTTATTCTTATAGATAGCTAAGCTAGTTACTTTCTACATAGTAATTACTGGATGTAGTGAATAGAAACATGATTCAGTTACTAACAAATTTCTCATTTAATCATTGCAGTTAACACAAAAATTACTCCCTTGTCCTCATGACCACTTTCTTTAAATTCCTACAAGGAAACCCTCAGCAAAGAACGTCACATCTTCCGCTCTTCTCAGAGCACTTGTTTGATGTTACCATACAAAGTACAATTAAAAAGATTAAAAAAAAAAAAGCCCAAAAAACCAACAAAAAACAGAAGTGGTTTGCATTGCTAAACAGACTAGAGACTCTCTTGACAAAGACAGTACTTTCAAGGAAAGACGTAGAAAGGAAAGAGATGGACAGGAAGCAAGAGACAAAGAAAGGAGACCTCAAAAGGAAAACGAGTAGACACTTTTCAGTCTCAAACATGGCCAAATGAGAATCAAACAGTGGGCTGCTGGTAACATGGGCAGCATTAAGGTTTACAACAGAGATTTTCTAGTAAACAACGCCAAAGAGGAACGAAGGTTGCACTATCGACTGTTATTGGAGTTCATGCAACATACCCATCACTGAAGTATCTGACAGCAATGGCTCTAGGCCAGCAGTTCAGAAGTTCTTTAACCACAAGATCCCTATCAGTCCTTTCACGCACTAATAAGCGTATCAAGCCCATCGCTTTTCAACCGAAAACACCACATAACGTGTCCCACAGCACCGAAGGGGCTCCAGCGGGTCTCACGGGCCAGGCCCGGGGGCCGAGGGGCTGCGAGCCGGGGGCAGCTGCGGCACAAGCGGCGGGGCAGCGGCACGACGGGGGCAGGTTTTAACAGGGGGTTACGAAACTGGTGTCAAGTTTGGGCGGCCGGCCCCGAGGGGCACTCGGAGAACTGCAGAGAGGCGGCGGGAGCGGCCGCTCCGGGCCGGGGCCGCCACGTCCCGCCCCTCGCCCGGCGGCGGCCGCCCCCGGGGACAGGGAAACAGCCCCGGCGGCCGCTCCCTCCCGGGGAAAGGAACGAGCCATGGCAGCGCCCAGGGCGGCCGCGCTCCTCCGGCTGCCCAGGGACGCGCGATACCGAGGGGGAGCGGCCAGCGGAGCCGGGGGCGCGGGGGGGTGGAAGGTCGCGGGTGTTACCTGCAGCTCCGCCCGCTCCGCCTCCCACTCGGCGCGCTCCGCCTCGAAGCGGCCCCACTCGTGCTGCAGGAAATGCAGGATGCCCGGCACGCTGTACTGAGCCCGGGACGCCGACAGCGGCGCGGCGGCTCCGGAGGCTGCGACCCCCCCGCCGCCGCCGCCTCCTCCCGCTACTGCCGCGGCGGCCGCCGCTGCCGCCGCCTCGCCCGGCTCGAGCCCCGGCCCGCCCGCCGGCGGCGGCAGCAGCAGCGCGTTGTTGTTGTTGTTGTTGCTGAAGAAGACGCCGGGCCCTGCTTGCTCGTCCATGGCCGGGCCGGGTCCGCCTGGCTCCCGCCGCCGCTCCCGCCGCGGAGGTCCCGGCAGCACCAGCACCAGCAGCAGCAACAACCTGGGCGCGTCCCGCCCGCCGTCACCGCCTGACAGCCACCCCCACCCGCCGCTACGGCGGCCCGACGGGGACAGCGCGGAGAGCGACCCGCCCGCACCTCTCGCAGCATCCTGGGAAATGTAGTTCCGATGGAGGGCGGGGAGGATTCCCCGATCGCCGCCTTCTCCCCTCACCGCCCTTAATTCGAGGGATGGTGTTCTGGCGGCTGAGCCTCAGCCCCGAGATGGAGACCGGCAGGGCCGCTGGCAGCGCGCCCCCGGGACCGGTGGGTTGGGCAGGGGTGCGGCAGCGGCGGCAGGGACAGGGCAGCTCCTGCTGCAGCAGGAGCACAGGGCAGTGGGCACCTCCACCTCCGAGCGGGGTCTGAACGGCTCGGGCACTCCCGCAGCCCACCCCGGGGACACGGAGGGCAGGTGTCTCGCAGCAGTCCCACATGCTCAGGTCAGGCCCTGCTCTTTCAGCCCCTTCTTTTCTGCTTCGGCCCTGCTCTGAGCAGTGCTCGGCCTCATATTGCCGAAAGCTGCAAATCCTGCCCAAGGCTGCAGGGGTTTCTTGAACATCGTTTCGAATGCTGGAAGAGAGCAACACAAAATTTTTCAGGAATTGCCACGCTGCCTGTTCCCACATGAGGAAAGGGAAAACAAGATCCTGTGAGGCAGAGGGCACAAACTGCTGGCAGCACTGCCCTCTCCCCCTCTCCCCAAGGCACAAAGAGGCGAAGTTGGGCTTGCCATGTGCAGACCAGCAACAGAGCCTTCCTGGAGACACAAACACGCTGCTCCAACAGGCTGTGCCACAGGTGTGTGACAGATGGCACATGCCACCAAGGAGCTTCCACAAGGTTCCTGCTTGTGCCACTCTCGTGTCCTTCGCCATGCCCCGGGCATGCAAGGAGTGCCCCACTGCTTACTCAGGCTGTGTTTCCTGTTTCCTTCTGGCTGCTCCAAAACCGAACTTGCCTGCTTCATAACCCTGCCCTCGGAGTTAGAGCTGTGGCTGGTGGGCTACCTCTTTGGGAAAGACAACTAAAGAAGCTTCCAGAGAGCAGAGGGGAACTGAAGGGAAAGCACTGAAGAGGGACTGTGCTACTGGAGTAGAACAACAAGGCTCACTCAAAAAGGAAGGAAACAGCAGAGAGAGATGAAAGATGTGAAAGGGAAACGGAGCACATTTAAAAAAATCTGACAAAGAAAAACAACAAAAAGAGTGACAAACAATAAGCACTACAGACATTTCGAGTTACTTCAGGGTTTTTTTAATCAAATGAAATTTGATGCCAAAATATTATGTAAAACCACACGGTTATACCTTTAGTATCAGGAGTAAGCAGAGAAGCAAACGAGGACTAAACTGGGGAAGGATGTATACAAATGGGAGTTGTGCATGTTGTAGACAGCCACACAATATACAAAGAAAAACCTCTCCCTTCTCTATCCCTCTACTTCTATCTAGTACCATTTTCCCTTCTGCTAACTTATTTCTCTTTTTCTACTGACTTAGTTATGCTTGGTTGCTACACTTCCCTCCCCCCCTCCTTTTCTGAGTTTTCAGACATCTTGTCAACTAGAGTCTAACCAAAACTTAAAAGTGCTCAGATAAAAAGGTAAACAAAACCTGATTACAGTTAAAATCATTCCAAGAAGTCATTATTTACTAGACTATCTGGTGGGGAGGAAGAAATCTAAAACAGGTTATAAACTTGTTTTCTTAGTTTTACTTGCAAAATGTTTGTCTTCAATTTTGTACTGAAAGAGTTTCCATAATACTTCCTCTCAAATGTTAAACAGATTTAGAACTTCTTCTAAGCAATACAGCTTTGTAATGCTGGAAACACATAATAGAAAGTGATATATTTTAATCAATTTAATTCCCACTACTCGTACTAAGATGAAAAAAGTAGTGAAACTACTTTCTTCCTCATGTACAGCATATTGTTTTTACTTCCACATATATCTTTACTCCTATAGAACAACGGAACAAGACTTAGAAGTTAACAGCTTTATGAAAAAAAATTGAGAGATTAGAGGATGCACCATTTGTTGTCATCACTTTAGTATTAAAATGTTCACTGTGAAATGAAAGCTTTTCTGATTTTATGTTAAATATTTTGCACACAGCAAATGCAATAGGGCAGAAGAGCATTGTCTTGACCATTTTGCATAGGTACTCAAAGGGATATTAGATAAGGTCTTACAGGAAAATAGAAAGCCCAGAGGCAAGTGACTATGCAAAAATAGCGATCTAAAAATATCTCAACCAGCTATGAATCATGATCAATTCTATTTACTATCCCTTTGCTATATTTGAGGTTGATGCATCTGAAATACCCAGTTTTCACAGAGTATCCAGAAAAACATCAGAGATGAAACTCAACAGGCCTAGCTGAGGCCTCTAGTTATGTAGCTTCTCTCTATAAAGCAAAATGTATAGAAAGATCCCTATAGAAGAGAGGCGGTGAGTTAGAAGCCCATAGATTCAACAGCTGTGTCAAAAAATTCACGTAAGTCAGTCTTGTATACACAAGAAAATACATGGTTCCACACTTCTGCCAATAGGAAGGGCGAGGCCTGGCAGCAGACAGACATTGGGAATCACAGCATTTGAGCTCTAAGCTCCAAAATCTGCAGACCAGACTCACCCAGATGCAAGGGGAGTCACGTGCTTTTCAAAAAAGAAAAGCCTGGTAGGGGAAGGAGAAACTGGAGGAGCCTGACTCTCACTGGTGTTCTGCCCCCTGAGTCAGTAGAGGTTCAAAGGACTCCAGTAATTTTGCTTGCAAACTTTATCAAGGATTACAGGTATGATATATTCACTGAGACTAAAATCTTGCAGCAAGGTCAAATATGAGTCTGGACAAAGGGCAGAGCACTGACTCATCACATACTCAACCAGTGGCTGGCAGAACAGGAAGACTGCAAACACAGAGCACCTTACAAGGGCCAAAATCTACACCTACAAAAATGCAGATAGCAGGCAGTTCTCTTTATAAACTCAATTTCCAATGCATTCCCTTAAATTTTATCTTAGAAGAGATAGGGGATTAGATTCTTTGCATCCTTTATTCATTTTCAAGCATGGAAACTAATTTGAAAGCAATATACACCACATAAATAAGGACAACTCATTAAGACAGCATGCTTGATCATTCACCTTGAGAAAGGCTGAAAATTTTCAACTCTTTTGTTGTGTTTTTTTCATGCAAGCTGAGATGATCTACAAAGTCTGACAATCTCCTTCCTTACTTTGTTTTTAAAAGGAAAAAATGCATACTTCTACACTTGAAATTCCCCACGGTACAGGGTAAGTACTTCATAACAGTTTTTCTTCTTCCCTCCGTCCCCACTGTGCTAGTGTGTTGGCACAATGGTAGGATAACAATCATCAGATTTCAAAAACCAGTGGAGGGTTTGGGGGAGCTTTTAAAAATAAATAAAAGTATTTAGATATAGAATAATCTTTTTGTGGATAATTTATAACAGAAATTCATAAATATGATCACAATTTCCTAAAAATCTATACAAACACAAGTAACACCACTTCCCTTGTAATGCATGGATTTCAAGTAATTACACAAAGCTCCATTAGACAGCCTTTCACATACAAATTACACAAAATTAAACATGTATGCAGGGATAATGTAATGCTTCTGACTACTTAATGGTCCAAAAATAATAAAAGTAATTCAAAAAAAGCTAGTTTTCAGTTTAATTGTTGGGGTGGAATGTACTGTGGGTGGTGGTTGCCTAGCAGCTGCTTTTGCTTTGCTGGCCTGACTTGCTCGGACTGCAGTTTCTAGACGTGTTTTTAATTCAGGAGCAGCTCCCATTACTGTCTTGAAAGCACGTGGGTAAAGTGGACCAATGTGCATTAGATTCTGAAGTGCAAACTCGTGAAGATCCTTAGATGCTGCAGATGCAGAAGCGAAGGCATTTTCATTCAGTAAATAGGAGATCAGAGTGGGAACGAGAAGGGCAAGCAGCTGTACTCCTAAAAGTGAAAGAAAAAAAAATTGCCATATCAGAGAATAAAACAAAATAAAAATAATTTTATCAGCTACTAGACTGATAAGGGTAATCTTGTTTTCAAAACTGACAATAAACACTGTAATTAAAAAATTATCAAATAAAATCCAACTTTAATGTAGATGTCTTCCTGTCCTTTCATCACTCAAACCTTTCTTACCAGAATTGTGTTTCAGACTTCTATTATTGTTCATTACAGTTATGTTGATCCTGACACTTATTTAAAGATGCTTTTGCACCATCTGATTGCAGATCATTGATAAAGATTGTAAAATGTAGAGTGCCTACCATATTAAAGGGTTTCAAAACACTTTTCAGGAAGACAGAAACGTTATTCAATCAAATCTGAGTATCAGCCTCCCCAGTGAGCATAAAGTGAACCACTATTAGTATGAAAATGTTCACAAAAAAGTCAGGGAAGTTTTCTGCTGTTATATTATATTATATTAATCTGGAAGATTCTAATCCAAAAACTAGCACCGCAGATATACTTGGCCTAGCATGACCTAATGAGGCCAAAGCTCAAAATGGCAAAGGGATCAAGAGGGTTGACCTTCAGAACAAAAAAGGCAGCTGAACTTAAACAATAAGGTAAATGTTTGTATCCAGAAAGGCTACAAGTATGCCTTCAAAATGTGTAATAGGCTAATTGTACATTTTAAGCTCAAAGAACTTAAACATTAATGGTAACTCATTTATCTAAAATTTTGTAGATTATTTTCCCCTAAAGGTTTTGACTAATTCATACTCAATGTGGTGATTGTCTCCAGACAGCAAAAATCAGATGTTCTGTTTCCTCATTTGCTTCAGTTTCTCTCTCATTTTAAATGTCTTTCAAACATCTGTGCCCAAACCAGAATGGGGCTCAACAAATTTAGTATTTTATCATCAACAAAAAGAAATACCAACAAAGAGTATGCTGGGGGAAAAATAAACAAACCACAAAAACCAAGCAAAAGAAAAACCCCACAAAAAACTAAC